CCTCGACACACTCTGGCTCTGCACCAACGACACCCTCTCTCTTCTACAATTCCACGTGCTGCCGACCCCCCCATAAGTAGCGCCACCTCAACGACGACGAAGCAGCATGGACCAGCCACCGCCTACACGTACTCCAACACCTCTACACGATCGGCACCTTCACCGCCGCGCTTAGCAACGCCCTCCACCACCGCCTTTTCGCACCCACCAGCCCCGATGGCAGCGGCGGTGGCCATGACCTCCTTTCACGCATCACCATCTTCGCCCTTGCGCGTGCTCGTCAACATACGTGCCGACGAGAGCATACGTATCCTCGAACAACTGGGCCCGAGCCTGACCTTCTACGAGATCACAAACCGCACGCCCAACGCGATGCGGGCCGTGACGGAGAATTTGGCGCGGTTCTGGAAATCCGCCCAGGTCTCGGACGATCCTGTGCACGGGGAGGAGGTGGTATCGCGGATCGTCGGCTGGTTCCTATAGACAGCCAACAATAAGAACCCCACATCCAGCACGCCAGCGAACGAAATTATCCCGATCTCGAAGCGGGAGGCTGAAGATTTCTTCGTGTTGTGGTTGTTGTTGATGTTATTGTTATTGGTGGTGGTGCTGTCGATGGGTGAGGTCCATGTGGCGTGGGTGAGGCGCGGGAGGTGGAAGGGGGGAGGGTTCTTCTTCTGCTGCTGCTTCCGCTTCTGCTGCTTCTGCTTCATGGTGGGTTGGTGGTTGGATGCGGTTGGGTTTGGATGGGTGTGGTGTGTGTTGAGGTTCTGGTTACGGTTGGTGTTGGTTGTCTGGGTAGAGATGGTTTCGATGTTGGTGCTGCTGATACTGATATCGGTGTTCGTCCGCTCGGAGAGGTGGCTGTGGTGACTGTTCGGTTTCTTGACAAATGTGTCGTCGGCGTTGGTAACTTCCAGGGGAGAGGCCCTTCTTCTTGGGTAGATACGTCCGCGAGGGTTTGTGTGAGGTTGGGCGGTATCGATTCAAGGACTGGGACATAGAGGCGCATTGGATAGAGAGGACGCTAGATATGAGGGAGACGGATTGTTTAATGGGTAGGCAGGTACGATTGGAAGCGTGCAGGATCACACTTGGGGGTTAGAGCCGGTAGTGTTTGTGGCTTTGTTTGCTGGGGAAGAGCTACTAGCAAGCTGAGATGCAGAGTGATGCAGCTTTGAGTGAGTACCTGTGGAAGGCAAGAGTTTATGGCATGCACCCGTGGCTTCTTTAAAAAGATTCAGTTTGCTGCGTCGGGCGGGATTACTATGAGATGCTGGGACCAAGGTGCAGCCGGTCTAACCACACGCAAACAGCGATCCTGTACTTCTTTCAACGTCTATGCGAGCGAGTGACACCCTCCACCAACGCCCGGCCAATATGATCTCATCCAAAAAAAAAGTAGAAAACCACGGCAGCATCCATTTACATGACCAGACAGCAGCCCTTGAGGCAACTGAAGATATCGTCCTCCTCCTGCTGTTGCTGGGGCGGCCGTTGGTGGTGCTGCGGGGGGCGCTGTTGATGCCCGCTGCCGCTCTCACCATAATGCTGCGGCTCATGGTGCTGCTGCTGCTGATGCTGTTGTTGGTGATGGCCACCACCACCCGCACCACCATACCCGCCATGGTACCCCCCCGGCTGGGCGGGCAACGGCGGCGGCGCCTCCACCCTCCCGCCTTTCAGGTCGACATAAATGCGCCCTTCATTTTCCTCAGTGGCATAGTCCAGCCCAGCCTCCCGACACACCCTCTCCACCCTCGGTTTCAGCTTCTGGACGTGGCCAGTTGAGTGGTTTCCCTTGCCGACAATGACATGCAGGTGGGACTGCCCAGTGGACTGGGCGTAACGGATGCGCTCCTCAAGGATGTCCTCAGCTTCCTCGACAAACTGGCCGTGTAGGTCGATGGTGTCCTCGGCGATGCGGCCGGGGGCGTTGTTCTCACGGAAGATGAACTCGGAGGCCTGCTTGTTGTACTCGGCCTGTTTCTTTTGGTGACGCTTGCCTTCGTCCGAGAGTTCCTTGGCTCCCGCGCCGTCGCCACGTTCATAGGCCTCATGAGCCTACGCCCCGTGGTTCACAATGAGTCAACGATCAAAAAGGCCATTTGTGGAACAGAGGCAAAGAATAAATCACGCCATAAGTGGGTGAGCATCGTACCCGATCGAAGCATAATTTCTTCTTGTCGGCCTCAGCCCGCGCCAGATCGCGTAGCCGGTCATACTCGGCCTCGGCGTCTGCACTGTTGTCGTGGTTGAAGGCTAGGCACAATACACACATGAGTTAGAGCCTCTTTCATAGAGGTAGGGATATGAGGCGGTCAGGGGCTCAGGGGGTCGGAGTTCATACCGCGCCCGCCAAGACGAGACATATGGATCGCGGAGGATGCCATCGTGGAGTCGGAATCCAGAAGGGTGTAGCACTAATATGTACTGTAACTAACTAGTTACTGTGAAAGCCTCATAAAAAAGCGAATGTTTTTGGCGTCGCGGAGCTCGGAAGCCCAGAGACACGACAGCGGCTGTTTCCTAAACGATCGGCGCGCGTAATGTGGGCTACCCCTGTCGCTGCCAGCCGCTCATCTGCGCCAAGGGCTGGACTGCCGCTTTGGAGTTGTGTTTGGGTAACCTTGAATGTGCAGTTTGACAGACGGCGACCAGCAGAAAGACGCCTGTCTTGGCTACATTTGGTAACTCATTCTCCTGTGTAGTTAAGTTGTTTCTAAACGTTGTGCCATCCCAACTCCGCGGTCCCTTCGTGTCAACATGGGCCATGCCCAAAACACAGTTTCAGACGGAACAAGACGGTCCATCCGAACACGAGGAAACAAATCTGACGGGTCAAACATCAGAAACGAAGTCCTGTAACATATTGAAAACGCTGCCTCTCCCAGGATATGTGGCTCTTTTCACTTCTTTTTTAGGTGTCACTTTCGTCTCGTCGCGTATCGTTCCACGGCATCAAAGAAAGCACCCACCCAGCCATCCCAGCCATCAAAGTCGGCCCCTGGCCCCATCGACACGGTCACATCACTTTCTAGAATCTTACCCATCCCATACTAGCGTCATGCCGAGATGTGCCATTGCCAAGGTAGGGGCAGTGGGGACTCCCTGCAGGTCACCCGGAAAAGAAATGAATGGATATCCACCTTTGCAACTTGCGCCATCCATCCATCCGCCAGCTCGGCATCGCAGCAGTGGGGGTTGGGGGGTTGCTCCTGAGCCTCGCTTCTTGGCTCGAAAGCTGAAAATGATGCATCGACCAAACGGGGCCAGCGGTTCGCCTCCACTGCCTTGCCTTGCCGCCTGCACGTTGCTCATGCCGCCGAATCCAATGCCAGAGTGCTGGGTTGATAGCTCGATAGGTATGTGCTTCGTAGCGAGAGCCGGGTTTTACTGTGTACACCCCGGACAGCCCGGGGAGGGGGTGGGGCCTGTTCAGCTCTTTGCCGTTCTTGTGCCACCAACATTCTGATATTCTGACCAGAAGGCGGCAACCACCCGTCGGCGCAAAGCGGCTCAGCCGGCGATGCCGAGCCTTGATCGTGGCCTTTATCGTCGACGAAATTCTTGACGGCGTCGCGGGGATTGTGTCGTGCTCGAACACCCTCTTCCAGTGGTTCAGCCCCCGGAACACGGATATCGAATCACTTGGCTGCTGCTGGGGACCAGGGGCAGGTGGGGTAAGGTCTCGCAATGAACTGTGGAGTCCCACGCCGTCCCCATCCCCTTTCCAGGGATCAGGAACTCGTCTTTGCCAATAGCCCAGCATTCGGCGAAAATGTTGGAAGGCTAGCCTCTCCGTCCCGAGATTACCATTCCAGTCCTCAGTCGAAGAAGCTTCGATCTGGCGGCCTTCTCGGAGGGTTTGACATCATCTCCAACCTCCAACCGGCAGGTTTGCGTGTGTCCACTCAATGTGCTGGATGTGGCTTCGATCGATGTTTGCCTGATCGGCTGCTGATGTCGATCCCATTTGCGGGGCGCCAGGGGAACCGGAAAATAAGGTTCGCGAATGCCAGACTTTCGTCCGTCCGGAACACGTCGGCCAGTCGGCAAACATGAACATGGGCGGCTCGTCAGATCTCAGAATTGTCGGCTGATCGGTGCAGCATCTTGCAGTCGTCAGTCGGCATCATTGGCTACCTATACCTTGCCATCGCCGCACGTGAAGACGGCGTGGGCAGCCATGGGCACGTCTCAGATCCCCGGACGCATAAACTCGCGGGATCTAAGTCGAAATTCCAGGACCCGAAGACGGCTAGAAGGTGGAGAAGGGGCCATGAAACCGAAGGGGTGCGGATGGGAGTAATTTCATCCATGGCAATTCGAGTGGCGACCTGCCTCGACGGCGGTGTGTTTGGTGATTTGAAGTTCAAGCTAGACTTCGTAATTACTGCGCAGAAAATAAAAAACCACCCCTTGTTCTCGCTGGCGTCACGGCTATCACTGTTCCAGTATCTCGGGAGACAGAAGCAGGCACACCGTGGCCACGGCCATGACTCGGTCTCATTCCCGCCGTCTGGTTAGTTATCGATTGAAGGCCCAGCGCCAGCAGGGGCCCACTAGGCTCCATCACTTGAATGCATGGAACCACGAGGGTAGTGGCAACATCGGAATTAAGGGCAACGCCAGCCGGTGGAACTGCACCTTCAGCCGTTTTGAGTTGTCAACTTCGACATATCGCAGCGCTATGTGACATGTATTTGGTTTGTTCTCAATCCCAGGAGTTCAGAGCCGGTTACCTAAAACGGTGCGGTGTCGATCGTTAATCCACACAGACCTTGTCGAAACAGTTCTCTTGTCGGCAAGAGAACTGGGGCGTGTCGCCGATCCTGCTTTAAACAGCCGCTCCTGGAAGGATAGAAAACAGCACATTTTGAGGGGAACGAGTGCCGTCGACTTTTGATGCTAGAGAGTTGCGAGTTCCGGTAGCCATCCGCTTGAGATAGGTATTCGTCCATAGTCGTGCTCAATTCATCGTGTCCCTTTGACAGCCGTCAGTTTCACAGCTTCACGAAAGCTAGCCAGAGCACCTTGCTCCGTTTGATGAACTGTGATGTGTCAGTTGTAGGCAAGCAGGCCTACCTACTAATGTTGAGAACAAAAAGGTCGCAGTGCGAAGATAAAGAGAACATATAATATGACAGCGATCGGGACCAACTTCTCCTTTGCTGCTGATCGACACGATCCCACGACGCATGACATGCTCCGGTACACCCCCCTCGATAATCCAATTGTCCGTAAAAACCTTTCCGGTTAGGCTCGCAGTCGTGAACGCCACTGGAATTTGGTGCTGCCAGGGGTGGAAAGCGCCCATTCTCTTTTGGGAAGGCTCTGGGCGGCGTGGATCTCCCCTTCTTGCTTTCCTCGGTATGTGCAATTCTATTTGCACACACGGTAAGGAGCCCGGTACCTGAGTCTCGGTTGTTGAAGGCTAGAGACATCACCTACCTTAGACAAGACATGTAGAGACATTTCGGCCGTCGCCGCATTTGAAATTCAAAACTTTCTTGCTCCCCTCTGATCCAACTCGATCGCAGCGCAAAACCAAGGAGTGGTGGCCCCAGCGTTGACAGGGAATGGCTCTTTTTTTTCTTGCTGCAGTTGAGGAAACATGATGCGGGCACTGGCCGCTCCAGGGATCTTGACACTCCACTTTATCCTGCTTGCCCCGGCAGCTGATTCGCCAAATCGCACAGGGCCGCTGCATCCCCCGAAATTCAGCGTGCATGGCTCCGCGTTTCCTCACATTAACAGAACCGGCCCTCCCACCTCCTCTCCATCCTTCCCTCAACTCCGGTCCGCACCTCCCGCGACCACTCAAACAGTGAAGCCCCAATCTTCCTGTTTCACCACCTTGGCGGCAACTTGCGATCGTTGCGGTGATCGCGACATTCTTTCTTCCCGTCGGCTTTTGATTGTTTGCGACATTCAAATTGAAACACTGTGGACGCCCTGAAAAGTTTGGGACCGCGACCTCCTTTAGCAAGTTTAGCAAGTGAGTGCACCGAAACTAAATCAGCGCCACCACCACCCTTCCCACCTACCCGATCATCCAAAACCCTTTGATTGTTTCCATATCAATGGCGATTTGAGCAATGATCACGACGGTGTGATTCTCGCGGGGTTTTTCTGTTGTCCGTGTCCGTTGCGAGCCAGCCGTGGGAGGCAGCATCCCCTTGCCGAAGACTCCCGCCAGAAGGGGTCCAAACCGGGTTTCAGGATTCCATGACCACGACACAATTCCACTAACACGAACCAATCATCAACAGAACCACCCTAATACCTCGCGATTGACGGCTCTCTTTTCATTGCATCGGTTAGACACTCGAACGAACCGCCAAGATGGGTTGCGGCATGAGCACGGAGGAGAAGGAGGGCAAGGCCCGGAACGAGGAGATCGAGAACCAGTTGAAGAAGGACCGCATGCAACAGCGCAATGAGATCAAGGTGTTGCTTCTGGGTATGTCTGGATGATGCTCGCGATCTTGGACAAATGGCTAGCCATGTCCCGATGGTGTCTGCTGCAGCGTCGCATCAGGTCTAACAATTTGGTACAGGTGCTGGTGAATCCGGAAAGTCGACAATCTTGAAGCAGATGAAGCTCATCAACGAAGGCGGCTACTCGCGCGACGAGCGCGAATCCTTCAAAGAGATCATCTTTAGCAACACAGTTCAGTCGATGCGCGTCATCCTCGAGGCGATGGAGTCCCTGGAGCTGCCACTGGCGGACTCTAGGATGGAGTACCACGTCCAGACCATCTTCATGCAGCCGGCACAGATCGAGGGGGATGTGCTGCCGCCTGAGGTTGGCAACGCCATCGAGGCGCTTTGGAAGGATGCCGGTGTCCAGAGCTGCTTCAAGCGGTCCCGGGAGTACCAACTCAACGACTCAGCGAGATAGTGGGTGCCTCGGTATCGCTCAGTTTCCTCGTCCCTTTGCTAACAAACCGATAGCTACTTCGATAATATCGCTCGTATCGCTGCGCCGGACTACATGCCAAACGACCAGGATGTCCTACGGTCGCGTGTCAAGACCACTGGTATCACGGAGACGACCTTCATCATCGGCGAGCTTACCTACCGCATGTTCGATGTTGGTGGCCAACGATCTGAACGGAAGAAGTGGATCCACTGCTTCGAGAACGTCACCACCATCCTATTCCTGGTCGCCATCTCCGAGTACGACCAGCTTCTGTTTGAGGACGAAACGGTCAACCGTATGCAGGAAGCCCTCACCCTCTTCGACTCGATCTGCAACTCGAGGTGGTTCATTAAGACGTCAATCATCCTCTTCCTCAACAAGATCGACAGGTTTAAGGAGAAGCTTCCCGTCAGCCCGATGAACAACTACTTCCCTGACTACGAGGGTGGCGACGACTACGGCGCGGCGTGCGACTACATCCTGAACCGCTTCGTCAGCCTGAACCAGCACGAGAGCAAGCAGATCTACACACACTTCACATGTGCAACTGATACAACACAAATCCGCTTCGTCATGGCGGCAGTGAATGGTAAGCAATGATGTTCGCTACGAGAATGTGCAGAATGTTAACCGTGGTCCAGACATTATCATTCAGGAAAACCTCCGTCTCTGCGGCCTCATCTGAGCGGCAACCACGACAATCCCGTCGTTCTAACAACACATGCACAAATTCGCGTCGCCCGTGCTGAGTGCTTGGCGTGGAAGATACCCCTCCCTGGGTCGCATATACCAGAACCGGTGGAATCATGACACTCCGCCGAGTAATGCACCCCGGGCCTGTTTACTACCTCTACGACCCATGGCCGGATCATGAAATCGAATCGGAATCGTATCGGGACATGAACAAGCCGTGTCTGTCATTGGGAGGAGGGTAAAATATCTTGTTTAATAATGAATCTCGTCTTGGCTTTGGTGTCTTTTCAAATCGTGTATGAAATCTTCTTTTTCTGTCCCATCGTTTCTGCTTTTTTTTTTTTTTTTTTACTGGAAGCATATGCGGGTTGTCGTCTCCCTCCAGATGCTGGATGATATAGCGCTGCAGAGCCTTGGTCCGCACGAGGGAGGGAAAGGGAGGAGGGCAAAGGAACAGGCGGTGACGATGATTTGACGGATGGATACCGTTTGTGAAAGAGGGTAGGACTGACCGTGTGTGATACGATCCGGGAAGGATAGGGAGACAAGCAAGCGAGCGGGACATATACCAGTTGGGGGTTCTCATATTCTTTTTCTCTTCTAGTTTTGGCAGACATTTGATTTCCGTTTTCACCGTTCATCTTTTGTTTTGCGCCCATCTTGCAGGAACGTTTGTATGCAATTAATGAATGGGCTTGAAACAGCGAGTTATCCGGTGCCGCTCCAAACAGGCCAGCAAATAAATACCCGAGTCGTCAGACCACAAAAGTACATACAAACAACCCTCCCACCCTTGACAATATCTCTGATCAACGGCCACCCCAGACGTCCCAAACAACCGGGTCCACGAGCAAACGCCACCTCCCACGGGTGTTGCGTCACAGAGGGTAAGACGCTCCCCGGAACCGGATCGCCAGCCGGGATGGCGGGACAAATGGGCACGGGGCTGGCGGGCGGGGGGGGGGGAAGGGGGGGTGTGGCGATCTTATGCCGTGCGTGTGTGATGATCTGATGGCAACCTCCTCCTTGGTAGATTCTATGGTTAGCAGGTCGTTTATGTTCAGGCGGATGTATGGGTGCGTGTGTGCCGTGCACGCTTGGGATGCTGTCGGTTCGCGAGCTTGGTTAAATACTTCTTGACACTGTAGACATCCAGGGCAACCTGCCGGGCGGGCTTTGGCGGGGGATGTTTTGATGGCGTGTGTACATACCGGAAGTTTGTTATGTTGTGTGCAAGTCTCCGAGGGTAGTAATGCATTGGTCTGGCTATATAACCCCAGGAGAACCTGGAGAAACAGACACCTTTGCCGGTTCCTGTCCCGACAACTTCAAACTACTAACATAACGACCACAACCCATGGCGCATGGAATGACCATGACGCAAACACCACTATCCCTCAGAACCAAGCTATACTATCTGGCCCAAAGCCGGGTCGTTGGGCTCTATCCGTAGTAGCATTCTGAAAACCAAGCCTCTCGAGCACCAGGAAACCAAACAACCCAAGCCCAATTTTGTCGGAGTGCCCGAGACTGTTTTACCAGAAACGCCAGAAGGCACCCAACGGCCATGTTGTGGCAAGACGCATGCCATAGACTCTTGCAACCCGCGAGTGCCCCAGGTTCACCGCCACCCCAGGAGCACCTCGCCAGCTAGGTGTGATAGAGAACAGCTCCAATCCCTTTGCTCAACTGCGATGTGTAAAAAGAAACAGGTCGGTAGCACGTTGACATGCATTAAAAAAATGTAGTTCTGCTAATCTAGGTAGCAGGTAGAAAAGGGGAAGATAATTGCGAGAGAGCAATGGGGAATGCCGTTTGAGGAACATAAGGGTATCGTTTTATCCATGTTGTAGAAAACCGTAGTCAGAGCCGTAGAGCCCCGCCAGGGTGCTGAAGCGGAACGTACTTCGTCCCACTGTGTGAAAAAAGATGCCGTTGTAACTCTCGCTGCTGGTAAAGCCTGTCTGGTTGTGCGGTTGAGAAATTGGTAGGTAGGCGGCGCCCGCTGTCAGAAAAATGGCACGTTGGTACATGTAATGAAGGGTTCAGCCAACAGTTTCACGGGGCCGGCCTGAGGCGACTCGAGAGCGCTGGAATCCGGAGGTTCTAAGCTCCGGAGTCGTCGCCCATGGCCTGCTGCCCCGAGCCAGACTGTTCCTGGTTGTTCACCATCTCCTCGCACTCGACGATTTGCAGGGCCAACTGCTTCGCCGTGATCTCAATCTGGATGAGCTGGCGGGTGGCCTTGTTGGCCTGGCGGACCTCGACCATTGCTCGGTTCACCATCTCCTGGAGCACTGGATTGTTAATCAGTAAACCCCCGGGATGACTGACACCTCCCAGGGCAGGGCCGTGAGGCTGTAGTAACGGGTGGGAAGCGGCGGCAAAGCGATAGGTAGGGTCGTTGGTCATGCCAGTAGTGGCGGCTGGCAAGATGGTGGGGTGCTGTGGGACAGGCTGCGGATTCCGTGTTTCTGCAAACGCGTCATGCCATGTCAGAAGTGGCTCGTTTATCGGATCCGAGGTGAACCTACCATGAAAGCTACACCGAGCGCCGCTCGCGTTGAACCAACAATTGGCACAACTCCCACACATCTGACCGTCGACTACCACGCAGCTAGTCCACGGGCCGTGGCCTTTGTGGCAGTTTTTGCAGGGAATACGAGCGGGCTCCCCGGCGATGTGGGCAAACAGAGCCTCGACGTTGCTACGCCGCGCTAGGTTGAGGACCTGCTCAGGTCGGCGCTGCTGGGCGAGGCGTTGACCCGGATCTCTAGCCAGACGCTTGGCTAGGGCGCTCTCCACATTGAGGTCGCCGTACCCAGAGTCTCGCGCGAGGTCCTCGGTCGTCTTCACCATTGACCCGTCCATTCCCTGGTGGCCGGGCTGTATTTGTTGGGGGGTGCCCATCTGGGCTGGTGGTTGGTGATGCTGGTGTGAATGAGGATGTTGATGCTGGTGAGCATGTTGGTGAGCATGCTGGGCATGTGCCAAGTTTTGCTGCATTTCTTGGAGCTGCTCCTGGACAGGCTGAGACATGGCGTTCCCCGGCCCGGCACCGCCGTTAGCTAAAATGTTGGCAGCCGTGAGGTCGACATGGGGCAGCCCAGAAGGTCCCCCATCTTCATCGTCCATGTCGGCCTCGGCCTCGGCTTCACCATGGGCATCCTCAGTGAGGTCGGTGTCCATGACGGCAGCAGCAGCCGCGGCAGCAGCATAGTCCTCAGCGCCCATCCTCACGTCGTCAAACACGGAAGCAGGATCGGTCTTTAGTTCGTCTGACAGGTCGTGGCCGTGACCGTGAGTGTGAGAATGAACGTGGTTTTGATTTCCCAGGTTGTGAACCTGAGAATGGTCTTCTTGAGTAGCCAGGTGAGCTGCCACCTGGCGTGGGGTGCGGCCGCGTGGCGTCGGGACCGACTTCGTCACCTTACTTGGTCGACCGCGTTGCGAGCGGATGACGGATGATTTCATGCTCGTGCCCGGACGGGATATCAAAATGGTCCCAGAGGCGGTTCGCGATGGCTGGTGTCGGTAGGGATTGTTGTGGTTGAGCAGCTGTCGTCAGCTGTAAAGTCGGTATTTTTGGGTTGTGAGTTGAAAGAAGCTGGAGGGCGAAGGAAGCGTGGCTGTCCGGCGGAGAATTTTTTATGGGACTGCCCAATGAAATGGGTTTGTTGAATAGACTTGAGGATTGTGGGCAGTTACAGCTGGTCTGTGCAGCATTGTGCATGGGCTTCTCCACTAATTCTGTGAAGGCGTTCATCGAAATAACCAAGGGCAATGCGAAGAAGTAGTAAGAATGGAAAGAAGAAAAAATCATCAGACTTTAGACATTACATCAAACGGAATGCTAGGGCCTATAGGATTAATACCTAAAATACACTCTCCTCCATTAAAACAAACTACCACTATAGGGCCATTTTGTCGCAAATTTCTCCCTTTTAGTCTCCATGAATGTTCCCTTAGTATTACTCCATACCTTGACCATGCCTAGACCACACCTTGACCAACACACATTACGTCGCTTTCGCAGGCTTCGCCGGATGACCATGCGTCTTCGCCCACCCCCTCACCTGCCCGTTCATAATCCGCAGCACAAAAAAATAAATGACAGGCACCAACCACCCCAGCAGCGTGTCAAACAGCCAGTTATTCCTCGGCGACCCGCCCATCACGCCGCAGCGCATCAAGTTACCCAGGAACGACACGGCCACAAAGTACTCGCCGCGCTCAAGACCAGCAATGGCGCGACGGGCAACCGTGTCGGGGGTCTCGGGCGGCTCGTCCTTCTCGAGCTCGGTCGTGATGGCCGGCTTGGTCTTGTTCTCGCGCTCGAGCCCCGGGCTGGTGATGGTGGCGGGGAACACGACGTGCACCTTGACGGGCGTCTCCGGGTACAGGTTGACCTCCATGGCCAGGGTGTCGGCGAGCCCGCGCAGCGCCCACTTGGACGGCGTGTAGGGCCCGTACCCGACGATGGCGAAGAGGGCTAGCACGGACGCGGTGAAGACGATGTGCTTGGGCTCTGGTCTGGTGCTGTCGCGGTTGTCTGGGTTGAGCCACTCCCGCAGGATGGCGCGCGACATCTCGGCCGAGCCGAAGTAGTTGACGTCCATGTTGCGGCGCGCGGCCGCCATGGCGTTGTCGTCGGTCCAGAGAAGGGGTGTGGACATGCCGGCAATGCACCAGACGATGTCGGGGCTGCGGCCGCCGTTCCAGGCGATGGCTTCGGCAATCACGGCGGATGCATAATCGGGCTCGGAGACGTCGGCTGTGATGTAGGTGAAGCGTTGGGTGGCCGGAGATGACGCGGCGGCTTTGACGTCGGTGAGGGCTTCCTCAAGGCGGCCGACATTGCGGGACACGAGAATGATGTTGGCACCCTTGGCAGCGAGCTGGATGGCGGCGCTGCGGCCCATGCCCTCGGAGGCGCCAGTTATGAGAACCGTCTGGGAATTGGGTTAATAAGGATTGTTTTGTTTTGTTTTGATGAATATGATGTTTGGTATCACGTACCCGGCCATCAACTGGCATCTGGTTCTTTCGCCCAAATAAACCCATGCCTGCAATGAGTGCTACGATGAGGCCTAAAGCGCCGGTGGCAATGGGAAGAGGGATACCGAGCCTTTGGAGAATATCCATGAGTGAAAGTTCAACACCACGGATGATTTCTGAACAGTGAGAGCTTCAACTTCCTGTCAGATGGTCGTTATTAACAGGGGCTTGATTGGCTTCGACACAAGGAGACAAGCTCACTGGATTGGGAATGCCCCACACCAACTTCTGCAAGTTGTGGGTCCCAAGGCCCCTGCCGGACCTGCACAACAGCGGGGCGGCCAGGCGGGAAAGGTGGGACCACTTCATCCGCCTTTGGGCGGTCACCAGAAAAAAAAGTTCTGCCGCCGTGAACTTGGATCAGTGAAGCCTTCGCAACGACAAACCCCACACTGGGCCAGCGCAAGACAACCGAATTTGCAATTGACCGTTCATAGCCCCGGTTTGGAACGATCTCGATTCTCGCTTTCACTCCCGCAACCCAATCCCCCTTCCAACATGGCCAAAAAGAGAAAGGCCCCGCGCAAGGCCGAGCCCAGCGGCCCCCGCGACATCGACGCCAAGGACGCGCGCCTCACCATCAAAACCTACGAAGACGTCGCCGATTCCGGGGACGAGTACTGGGCCAACCAGGATCGCATCGACTTTGACGACGATGAACAACCACGTTCTAAACGCCTCAAGAGGCAGGAGAAGGAGGACGCTTTCTTAGAGGTCTCGGAAGAGGAGATCTTGGCGGAGGAAGAGTCAGACGAGAGCGAAGAGGAAGAAGAGCAGGCACCGGCCAAGGGGAAGGGGGGGAAGAAGCCGAGCGCAAGGGACGAGGATTTGTCGGACGAAGAGGAAAAAGCGGGCGAGGAAGAAGGTGATGAGGGGTGGTGGGGGTCGTCAAGAAAGGAGTACTACGATGCGGACAATATCGAGACGGAGGCCGATGCCTTGGTAAGTTGCTTTGTGTTCGGATTTTATTACTAGCGCTAACATGAATTCTAGGAAGAAGAGGCAGAGGCAAAGCGCCTCCAGGCGAAGAAGCTGGCGAAGATGCAGGAGGCTGATTTCGCCTTTGACGAGAGCGAATGGTTAGCGTCGAAAGAACAGGATGGAGACGAGAAGGACGTTGTGACCGAAGTGTTGAAGGAAGTCGAGGTGACAGAGGACATGGGCCATGAGGAGAGGTATAAGCTCTTGCAAGCCCGGTACCCAGAATTCGATTACCTGGTGGACGAGTTCAGGGAACTGCAACCTCTTCTCCCGACGCTACAAAAAGAGGCTGAGGGGAAACCTGTCAAGTCGCTGGAGGTGGTCAAGTCCTGGCTCCTAGGGTGCTACGTCGCTGCGTTGGCAAGCTACTTTGCTATCCTCACGTCACCCTCGCGTGATGGAAACGGGTCACCGGCGACGCTAAATCCATCAGAACTGAGGGACCATGAGGTTATGGAGACTCTGATGGAGTGCCGCGAGGCCTGGCTGAAGGCGAAGCAGTTCAGCTCAACGAAATCGGCTGCTCCTGCCACTGGCATGCTCTCGCCGCCCGAGGACGACGACCTCGAGATGCTTGACGTCGCAGCAGTGCCGAAGCGTAGAGGCGAGAAGCTTTCCAAGGCCGAGATTAAAGCGAACAAGAAGAAGGAGGCCGATGCCGCCCGGAAGACCCAGGCTATCGAGCAGTCCCTGGCAGACCTGTCGACGCTGCTTAAGAGCACCAAGAAGGCCAGCAAGGCTGCTTCTGCGCCTGTTGCCTCGGCCGAGGCGGCCGACGATGACAACCGCTCCGATTTTGGTGAGGAAGAGGCCCTCGACGCTCGCACAGCCGCCGATAAGGCCCGCCGGAAGAAGACGCTCAAGTTCTACACTTCGCAAATCGTGCAGAAGGCCAACAAGCGGGCTGGTGCCGGTCGTGATGCAGGCGGTGATATGGATATTCCGTACCGCGAACGATTCGTAAGTTAACCCTACCTACATTATGCTTTTTAAGCTTGTCTGCTGACCCCCTCATAGAGAGACCGCCAAGCCCGCCTCGACCGCGAGGCAGAGAACCGCGGCAAGAAGAGCAGCAAACAGGGCGCCGAGCTGGGCGGCGACGACAGCGACGGCGAGGACGCGGTGGCCAGGCAGGTGCGCGGCGACGAGGACGAGTACTACGACATGGTGGCGCACGGGGCAAAGAAAAAGCGGGAGGACAAGGCGGCGCGGTACGACGCGCTGGCCAAGGCGCGCAAGGGCGAGCGCGTTGTGGAGGATTCGACGGTCGGGGCGGACGGCAAACGGCAGATCACGTACCAGATCCAGAAGAACAAGGGGTTGACGCCGCACCGCAAGAAGGAGGTGCGCAACCCGCGCGTCAAGAAGAGGATGAAGTACGAGGAGAAGCAGAAGAAGCTGCGGAGTATCAAGGCCGTGTACAAGGGCGGCGAGGGTCCGGGCGGGTACCAGGGCGAGTTGTCGGGTATCAAGACAGGGCTGGTCAAGAGTACCAAGTTGTGAGGGCGAGCGGCGTTGTGGGGGTTGGTATGTTCTGCAGACTTGGACTAGAGAAGAGCGGAAGCGAGACCGAACGCGAGATTTGGGACAAGCTAGACCGTCAATCGATTTTGTTGCAGCATTGAGGCGCAAATCACAACATGTTCAACTTCTGAAGTAACAAGAGACAACGCGGAAGACGTACACTATCGGTGACTCTGAAGAGCAGCCTCGTCTCTCCTTTTGGGGTGGGAAAACGTACAAGTGGTGGTCAGAAACTGATTCCAAGAGCCCAATTTGTTGCCCGACCTCAATGTTATGACATGCATGTGGTTAGAGCAACGAACAGACTGGACGTGGCGGCTACTTTGGCGAGAGTGGTAACAGAAGTGTCGTTTTAAGCCACCCTAGCACATATTGCTACTATCTCTATTCCAGGGGCATGTCAAGCCCACTTACCCAGCACGCTCATACTGATCATCCCACCCAGAAGCCCAGCCAAACATAATATCTTGCCCCGAACATCTAGCTGTGCCACTTCACCCCCTGCCATCCAATCATGCGCCCACATCTCAACAATACCAACCCATACCAAGATGCCGGCGGAGAAAGCGTCGATTGAGCCAATAGCCACAATAGTGGAGGGGTCATTCCCGTTGAAGACCTTCAGGAGGCAGATGCCGACCGCCATTCCCACGGGAGTGACGAAGGCGAAGCCGCTGGCTAAGAGAATCTTACGGGCCGTCGAAACTTTTGAAGAAGTTGTATCTTTAGTCAATATCGCTCCGTTGACTTCCGGTTCGTAAGAGTGGTGGTGGCCGTGCCCGAGGGTAGTTAGGCCCCGGCCAGGGAATCCGAGAGCGGCAATTCGAGTTCCAAGGGCAATTCCTTCGAAGGCTTGGTGGAAAACAATCACGATTGCCATAGTAACGAAGAAGCCGTCTGCAGTGACTACTAGAGAGAGACCGATGACTGAAACCAGCCCCAACGAGGGTCAGTAACGGATCCGTATCATAGGGACAATGGTGGCCGGCCTTTTGACTTACGCAGAGAATGGAACATAATGCCAGCTTCGAGTATGGCCACATTGACTAGTTCTGCGGAAACGGCAGGCTTTCCTGGGTCCTCCTCAGCCGTGTCGCCCTTTTTTGCGGACCGCCATAGCAATATCTGCTGTACAGAGTAATCCGCCAGGAATGACACAAAAACGCCAGCCATGAGGATTACCGCGGGTGTTGCCTCGTAGGAAAGCTTGCCTAGGCATTCGTTCTGGAACATTAGGACCCCATGTGTGAATAGCTTTATGCGGCTGCTATTAGCGACGGATCCAGAGCATACAAAAAGCGGCACTCACGTGGACAAACGCAGTTGAAATGATGACACCGGTGCCGAACTGTTTTAGTACTGCAGAGATCAGGCTCGTTTTCGGGGGGAGGATGGCAGCTACAAGAATCGGGCCATATACGCCTGAATCTCGTTAGGGTATACATCCTCATATCAGACTCCAGAGGGTGGTAGATGGAAAGGAGGTAAACACACCGATGGAAGTGGCTATCAACACCACAAACAAAGCCCCAATCCGCAGGGGGATGTTATAGTCCCTATCAATGCGCTCACAGCGCGAAGCCGACTCGTCGACATTACCCCCAACGCAGTGTCTGTTTCTTCGTCAGGGGCTGTTACCTTTTCGGGCGGGGAGAAGCGGCACATACTCTACCCCGGCATGGAAATGGCAATGTCGCTCACCCGCCCGGTCTCCAGAGCCACTGCCTCCCAGGCCGTCTTGATGAGGTGGAAGGGGCAAAACGGGAGATTGTGTCTTGCTCGTGTTGAAGATGGTACTCCAGCTCATAAGCAGGATAAGAGTCGTAAAAAAGGCTACGACAGCAACCACATGGAAGGCGCGCCGCGGTTGAGTCTTGCTTAGCATGGTTGGTTTCTACGGCGATGATACCCGCCCAGAGCCTGGACGGCGTCAGTAGCGTGGCTGCGCGTGCGAAAAGCAGCCCCGGAAACCGTAAATAGGAGCGAGGGTAGGGAATGGGGGTTTGAAGTCAAGAAAACAGTCGGATTTGCATTATCCATCAAGGTTCTGCCGCGGATATCCGTCAAGGTTGAACCATCCTCGGGGCTCCGTCTCTGTCGGGACACTGGTAAGCAAGAGCCAAGAGGTTAGGTATGTAAGAAAGGGGCTGAGCTGGGCCCGGTAGCTCAAGCCACCGAAGAACCCCACGGGACAGAGGGGTTTGAAGCATCGTAATGCAAACTAGGCTAGGTAACTATGTAGTATGTACGTACCTATGTGCTTCCTGTGAACCCCCAGCGCTGCACTTGCCACCAGCCTCGGTGCCAAGAGCCAGGATGGTGTCCGTCATCCCACGCGGGAGCTCCCCCGCGAGTCGTCCTTCTGGAAATCCCTGACAACGGGGACATGTGAGCTGTTAAATGGGGGCTGAATGACCGGGAAGTCCCCTAACCCCGGTCTTAACCTTCCTCTGCCCAAGTATTGATAACCGTGTGCGACTACAAGGGCTTCCAAAGTCCAAACAGCCGATCAGAAGACTGATAGGCAGGTAGGTAGGTACCTAGGTTGTTTTCCTGTGCGCTTGCAGGAGCAGCGAGTCTGTGACACTGTGACACCCCATGTTCCAACGCTCGGCGAAAAAGCCAAAGGCGGTCAAGTACCTAGTTAAGCAAGCGATTCAAAGACAGTCTCCTCTTTGATTTTCTTATCATGTATTTTATGGTCCTGCTCGGTAGAGACTCAGGAGGGTAGAAAATACGAAGTAGAAGGTACTTACCATACTTGACATTCCAGGTGCAACGCTTGTCCAGATAGGATCAAAATGAGGTAAATAAAACCCACCCAGCTATCCAGGATTCTCTCGCGATCCAATATTCCCCCCACGGGAAAACGCCCAGACAACTTGAATGGGGTTCGGACAGGGAAGAAGGAGGACCTTGATGGCTGCCAGGAAGATACTTCTCCTGCAGGCGGCCGTACGGCCTTGGCAAGTTGGCTCTGCCCGATTGGTCCGCTTCTCAGCGGCGTTTGTGGTGTAAGTCGAGATGGAAGTTGGCCAAGCCGAGCAGACCATGATACTGATAGCTTCCATGTGATAGGAGGTATCCCGCGTCTCTGGGCGTCTTAAAAAACGCCCTCCCGCTTCCCTAACTCTCACCTTGACGACTCAGGTCTCTCTCATTCGTTTGAAAGACTCTGTCAAGACAACAAGTCACCCTGACACCGACGTCGTCCCTCACAAACCTCCCACTCTCGTTCAGCCCATCAAGATGAAGACCTCGGCCGTTGCCTTTCTCCTCGGGCTCTACGCCCTGCCCGCCCTAGCCCAGGAGCTCGCTCCCTCGCCCACCGAATCCATCGGCTGCGAGCCTCACGGCGATCACTGGTAAGTTCAACCCAACCGCACCACAACCCTACAACAGCACTGAGCATACTCACCTCTCTTCTCTCACCAGGCACTGCGAAGGGCCCCGCCCGCCCGCCACCACCTCCGAGCCCACCACCACGATCCCGCCCCCCGTGATCACCACCACCAGCGCGGCCACCGACGACGACGACGAACACACGGACGAAGCCGGCACGGCATCGCTCGCGCCCAGCCCAACCGAGTCCATCGGGTGCGAGCCGCACGGCGACCACTGGCACTGCGAGGGCCCGCGCCCGCCGGCGACCGAGACCGGCAGCGGTGAGGGTGAGGGTGCTACCGAGACCCCGACGCCATCCTCCTTGATCACCGTGGCCACGACCGCGACCACGGAGGCGGGTGAGTCTGCGTCCGCGACGACGCCGACCTCGAGTGCCGTTTCTACGGCTGGGGCGGCTGGCGGTCCCGCTTTTGCTGCCGTGCCTGTGCTGGGGCTGGCGGCGTTTGCGGTGGTGGGTTTGTGACTGGCGTAATTAGGTGGTTGGTTGGATGTCTGGGTCGTGGGTTCTTGGACCTGGATATGTCTGTCCTTGTTAGATACCTAGGTAGTCTGGTCTGATCGCGGTGGTGGAGGATTGAATTCTTTTGGTTTGGCTGAGACAGTAATGTTTTCTGCTCGGACCACTTCTTCATCTAATTCTGTATCTTGTATTTTGTCTTGGAATCAAATGCCGTGGCTGAGCGGCATCATCCACTTGTACCTAGGTACATATTACCTACCTAGCTACCCAGGAGAGTAAATCAATTTGTCTCCGCTACTTTTGAGAAGCGCAACCACGCATGGGGTGTGTTTCAGGAATAGGCGTAAAAGACATACCTGAAGATCCAGCTCTGTTCTGTTCTCGGGGTTGGTGGTGCTTGGATTTTGCCCAGTACTCCTTCAGACGTTAACCCAAGACCTGTCCGCGCTACTCGGGGCCATTCCATAGTCCTGTCCCATCATTGTGAGTCGGGTAGGTTTGCCGAAAATGGGCGATCTCCCGCCCCGAGCCACGGATTCATCAGCATATTCGGGTATGCACTTCATGAATCATTGGGTGCACCGTGCCGGCCACTCTTGACTCTTCCCTCCCCGTCATCCCACCTCATCCTTCCAGTTTCCTGGACACCATGAACCAGGGGTTCGGGAATGAATCCCACGCGCCTGCCAATTTCCGGGTTCAAGGTATTTTTTTATTTTTTTTTTCAAGCCGTGCGCCCGTGGATGTGAGCCAACCACTGCCGGGCGGGCCAGCCCAGCTGAGGCCATCAAGGTTCTCCCAACACCTTCCCTCCTCCCCTCTTGCCCCCTTGGCACATTGGCACCTTCCCTCCACAGTCGATACCGACACCACGAGAGGGGGGTAGTGGAGCATTTCCAGGCTGATGAGCCACCTTTTAGGCCGCCTGAAAAGTCAAACGAACTTCTGAGGTCTCACCAACCCGCTCGAGTGGCGCCAACATGGACACCCACACGGCTCCTGTTCCGAGTTTGAAAAGTTCCGAGTGGATTTATTGTCCTTCTTTTTCTGTCATGTTTGCTTGGCACTCTGCTCGTTTAGCATTGCAAGAACAAAAATGCCAGGATTTAAGCTACAACAGGAAGTCAAGAAAAAAAGAGAACGACACGAACCGTGACTAACGTGGGGGTGGGCGCATGGGAGACGACCAAAACAACCCACACCGAATGGCCCGGACATGGATGCATGTTCACCAAGGTTCACCATGCCCAGCCCACATCAGTCTATGAAGACTTCGAAGGAACAGCTGAGAAAACACGAGGCAGGAAGAACGACCTGATATAATTGATATACCTGCTCCAGTGTGTTGGTCTCACAGTTCAACCCCCATTCCACCCCATTCGAAGTGTTCTACTTTTGCAACACTGGCATTCTTTTCCCTAAGCCCTGAACCTTGCTTGGACTTGTACCTGAACACCCCAAGCTAAACTGAAAATGCGTCTTCCGGGGGCGTGGAAGCGCCATGCTTTCCCGCTTACGCTCCTGGCGGCCACGGCCAAGGCGACTATCACAAGTGCGCCAGAGAGGAGGCAGGAACCTAGCATCACAGCGATCAGCGACTGTCGGATGCAGCAGACTGATCAGTAAGAGCTGGCCAAAAAGCACTCGATATCCATGGTTGAGATATGTACTGATGCGGGAGTAAAGATACTGCATGGTGGGTGCCACCGGATATCGCGTTCTCGCGCCCGGGACTCCAACTTCGGAGCTCGCATCCTCATACACGGACTGCCATGCCCATGTCGCAGAAACGTAGGTTGACACGCCCCCAAAATATGTCGTTGAAGTTGCTCTAACAAAACAACTCGCTTAGGTGGTGCATGAATCCCAACGGCGGCGAAGTCCAGATCACATTGTATACTCCGCCACCCAGCATCACGGCAGTCACTGATTGCCATCTGAGCGAGTCCCAAGTGTGAGTGGCTGCGTATCTTGCACCTTCGGGACACGCTAATGAAGCTAACACTGCCATGTAAATAGGTACTGCTCGTCGGACGCCACCGAATTCCAAGTTTCGGCCACGGTGACGGCGAGCTCGGATGTGCCGCCGACATACACGGGCTGCCATAGTCACGGCACAGACACGTAGGCAATCTCGTTCTTGCTACTTGCAAATTGATTCTGATCAACCGCGCCGTAGATATTGTCTCGGGCCATCGGGGGACGAGGTCCAAGTCCTAACCGGGTCGGAAGAAGCCGAAGCTGATACCGGCTCCGACGAGCCAACCGAAGAAAACTGTCACTTCCACGCCGGCGTTGAGTACGTCTTCCATTTTACTAACGATCCGTCAGTAGCAATCGTTGGCTAACGGTTGGACTAGGCACTGTGTGGGCGGCAGTGGAGGCGCTCGCAGCTGTGAGCGGACAGACCGCGAGTACAATGTTCCCCTGAGAATTGGTCTTCTCTTTGCTATCTTGGTTACCAGTTCCATCGGTATGTTGTTGTCTTCGTCCTTTATTCGGTCTTAGTAGCTCACCCAGAATAGGTGTCTTCGCTCCTATCCTTCTCGCCAAGTTCTTATCCGCCAGAGCAAACACGGTTCTTTTGATCATCAAACAATTCGGCACTGGTGTGATCATGTCTACCGCTCTTGTGCATGTAAGTGTTTCAACTCCCCGGACAACGTATACCTGTGCCTCTACCAGAGGGTGCTGACACCTCCCCCAACAGCTGTTTACACACGCGGAGCTCATGTTTGCCAACGAGTGCCTGGAGGGGGTAATGTACGAGGCGACCACGGCCGCTATCCTTATGGCCGGGCTCTTCATGTCCTTCTTCGTCGAATACCTTGGCTACCGCTTCGTCAAATCCCGGGCCAAGAAGGCAGCAGCCGCTCAGAGTATGCAAGGCGCCGTGATGTCAGTACAAAGCATAAGATCGCTGGAGTTGGTCAGCGTGTACATTATGGAAGCCGGCATCATTTTCCACTCCCTGCGTGAGCCTATTTCCCAGCATCCCCCTTCGAAAAGCCATACGCTAACATTCTCCAAGTCATCGGCCTCACCCTCATGGTAGCGGGCGACAGCTTCCTACTGACCCTCTTCGTGGTAATCATCTTCCACCAAATGTTCGAAGGCCTCGCTCTCGGCACGCGCATCGCCGCGCTCGGCTCCGGCAGCAACTCCAGCTTCACCCTCGGCCACACCCACACCTCCCCCATCCCCACCACCAAAGCCACCAGCGAGAACAGCGCAACCGCCACCGCCACCCACCCAGAAGACTCCGCCACCTCCCACACCGAGTTCGGCGGCGCCGGCGACGCCACCACACCGTTATTTCACGTATCCATGGCGAAGAAGATCTACCTCGCCGCGGCGTTTGCGCTGGTCACCCCCGTCGGCATGGCCATCGGCATCGGTGTGCTCGACGTCTTCAACGGCAACGACCCGCAGACCATTGTGGCCATTGGCGTGCTGGATGCCTTTTCGGCGGGCATTCTGTTGTGGGTGGGCGTGGTGGAGATGTGGGCTGCCGATTGGGTGTTTGGGGGCGGGTTGACGGATGCGGGTGCCGTTGTTACGGGGCTGGGGATGGGCGGGTTGGTGGCCGGGATGGTGGTTATGAGTGTGTTGGGCAAGTGGGCTTAGGTTGGCAACATAAGTCTTTTGGTTTGTTGGAGGGTCTTCTACGGGAACTCTCTTTAACGGCCAAACGGCGCCTTCCCAGTTTTGTATGCTACCTACCTACATCGATTCACTGCTACCGGTTCTAGAAGATGGCGCTGTCGGGCGCTTGAGCTGGCTATCAGATATGGCTCTATTTTGACCGTTTGGAGCTTGAAACATGTATTTGAGTCGTCGACCACTCTGAGAACAGTTTTGAATACTCATTGCCCAGGTTGAGGTGCCCAACGGTAGAATGCAGTTGAGAACCTTGATGACCGGGTGGGACGTTCTCAGTCAGGGGCAGGGATCCTGGCCATCACGGTCCTCAGCCCACCACCAACATTCCCTTGGGGAACATGACCTCGACCGGCGGTTTGGTATTCTGTCCCAGTTTCAACTTGGAAGACCCATCAGAGAAAGAAATGTCACGATTGAAAATAAGGGCCTGCTCTGTGCTGAAGAGGCACCCCAGGACGGAGATCTCGTCATTGATATACTCTTGGTATGGAGTAGTGCGTGAAGGCCAGAACCGCGGGCCATGGGGAGTCGTCAAGGTGCTCAAGTCACTCTTACCCCTAAAGGTTCTCAAGGCATGCCACATTAATATCGCAAGCCCACTTCCGCGCGGCTCTCCTGGGGGCTGCTCGTAGAGTGTAAATTGTGCTAGCCCCTATCCCGTCGAAGCCTAACACCGTGTCTCCCTCCCAAATCCAACAACATGTCAACACCCGGTGAACCACCAAGTGACCCTGGCATCCCGTGTCCAGATGGGGCTCACCTCCACGACATCATCATCGTCGGCGCCGGCCCCTGCGGCCTTGCCGTTGCCGCGCGCCTGTGCGAGCAGAACCCAGCCGCCCTCTTCACGGACGAGGAGCACCGGCGTTTCCACTGGATGAAGCGCCACGGCAAGAAGATGGCGCTCCAACGAGATAGAAAACACCGCGTGTCAACCGCGGCGAGTGCAAGCGGTGCACCGCTCCGAATACAACATGGTCGTGCTTGATGCCGAGCACGATACCTGGATGGGGCGGTGGAACCATCTCTTCAAGACGTTTGGTATCAAGCATCTGCGCAGTCCCATGTTTTGGCATGTTGACCCGAGCGACCGCGACAGTCTGCTGTCGAAGGCCTACGAGCAGGGGCGGGAAAAGGAGCTGTTGGAGATTAAGAACTGCGTGGGAAAGGAGGTCAGCAAGCACCAGAAGAAGAAGCGAAGCAAATACGTCGGTGGCAAGTAAGTAGTGCCATTATTGGCAACCACAGAGGGACGCTTACCGTTGTTAAACAGAGGTGAATCCCGAGTCCACATCAACGAGCGCGACCGAAACGACTACTTCAACCCAACCCAGGCGCTGTTCCGCGACCACTGCGACGACGTCGTCAGCCGCTACGGTCTCCATGCGTCAACACTCGTCCGCAAGGAGCGGGTCCTCGACATCGCCTACACGCCAGTGCCCGGGGATATCGGTGGCAGGCGAGAAGATGTTCACCGTCCGAACCAAACCACGGCATCCGCTACGCGCCCATCGTGGTCGTCGCCGTTGGGCCCCGGGCAACAAGCCGTGCATCCCTCACATCCGGGGCATTAGCACCCCCAAACCCGGTCACCACATCGATGTTTCCGACTGGGATCCCTCCACAGTCAGCCACGCGATGCAGCTGAAACGTTGCCCTCCGAGTCCGTC